TCAAAAAATAACCACAAGCCCACGAATTTTCTACCATCCGGCTACCTTTGGCCAATCAAAATTGGCAGATTTCCCAGAAGAAGATTCAGACTGTGTTCCCTAGTGAAGGATTATGCTAGCTGCTTAATGCTCCATACATAAAGATTACATATGTACATAATATGTACATAGCATTTTATTATGTAAAATGATCTATATATTAAGCCAGTATTTAAAAACGGGGACTTTTCAGACTAGTCAGGGAAACAGTGATTCCCACTTCAGTGAGTTTTTGTATTTGCATTCTGTTTTATTCAAAGATATTCTTTAATTTAAAAAACCTAGAAGCTTCATAAAAAAAAAAGCTACTAAACCCCAAATATCTTACTAAATATATATAAAAATATATATATATAATATATATAACAACTTCTGCACCCTGAATTACAGAATTCCCTTTTATGTTTTCCAAATTACGTTAGAACTGATCAGACAATAATTTAAAGCCTAATGACCATTTAGCAAAAAACATGTTTAAAGACATTAGCACAAAACAGTCAGGGCAAAGCAAATAACAACTGAAGAGGGATGGTTTCGATGCTGTTCTCCAGTGCATCTTGTATCATCAGCACTGAGGAGTGGTACAAAAGGTGGGTGTACTGCATAAGGATTTATGTATGCTGTATGCTGCCGCCAGAGCGCCAGGCAAACAGTAAAGGTCAGTGTAATCATGTATTTCTATTCATAACCAGCTTCCTTCTTCAGAGCTCCATTTGACAGGAAAATAAACGAAAGCAACCCGCAATCCAGAAAGTCCCAAATTAAACCTTTCTTTCAGTTGCAGCACTAGACAAAAAGTAATGAACCTCTCTAGTGGCCACACATAATCCAGTTGCATCCTGCGAATCAGAAAAGGAAAATGGAGAACTACAGCTGCATTACACAAGGAATTACAACTCATAACAAGACAAAGAGTTACCTCTCCTTTAAGATTCCAGAAAACCCTTTATGAGAGCTAACAAATTTAGTTATGCCAACATCGCTTTCGGTCAGCCCATGCTTCATCATGTCTGCAAAGCTCTCTGGATCTCCATCTTCATCGCTGTCCTCTAGTTCTTCTTCCTGCTCCTCACTTTCCTCATTGGGAATTATTTCATTTTTCATGTCCTCAGGTGGTTGTGTTACAGTCTCAATATTCTGCCCAGAGTCATTCTCTGTCTCAGACTTCTCCAAAATCTTCTGTCTTTTGATTTCATCTGCATTAGCCACATCATCCTCAGAGCGAGGACGTTTCAAGGATACACTATTCGTTTCTACAGTTTCCATGTTTAAGGCACAGTGTACGATAGAAAGCCCTGAGGAGGAAGAAGAATGGTTTATTTCTTGTCTGCTTAAGAGCAGTATCAATACATAATCCCTTCACTCCAAGGACTCTGCCCACTGCAGTGGTTCAGGAAAACTACGTAACTTTCTGCATTTTTAAGTTAAACATCAAGTAAATATTCTGAAGAGCTAGAAGCAATATGTACCTGGGAAGAGAGAAGGGAGATGGGGTCTTAATACCCACCCAAGGCACCATGCATGCTGGGCTGCAGCAGAGCAGGATTCAGTTCTGCACTGACCATTTACCACCACTGTCACTCCTGCCAGCCCTTACCACAGCTGCATCCTGTCCTGTGCATACACAGGCTCTGCTGTCAAAGCAGTGTAGTGCTCAAGAAACATTTTGTTACCAAGCCTTCTGTTAAACATGACTATTCTCAATTATTCCGTTTTCTATCAAGATTCCATCTTGCAAGGACTGAGAGAGGATGGCTCGATTCCCTCAAATCTGAAATCTCATCGCTTCCTTTTCTATGTTCTTCCAACACATACAATGCCACAGGGAACTCAAGGTGGCAACAATTCAGCCCAAAAGATAAGAGGAATGAGATACCAAAATCATTTAATAAGTGGAACAAACAAAAGTGAAATGATCTCTAAGAAGAACATGACTACTCACGCTGGTGGAACAAAGTTCTAATTCTTCCCTGGCAACTTGAGCTGCCACCTTTGTATCAGCAGAACTAGCACCTTCAGATCTGAAAAACAGAGGAAAATTAACTCTGAGAACGTTTTAGTCAAAAAAATAAAATAGACTATGAAAACATGCATGAATGTGATCATGACAGAAACCAGCTGTCCCTGACCCAGGTATCAGCAGTTCCACACAGCTACTCAGATGGACTTGTTAGTAACAAATACAATGGTGAAGTGCTACCAACCTAGTGACACAACACATTATTACTTCTTAGCAAGCTAGAGGAGAGAACTTTGGGTTTATTTCTATGTTTATGAAAGGAAGTTGGAATTCCAACTAATTAGGCAAGGACAGGACCTTTCTTCAGCATCGTCCAACTGGAACACCGGCTGTACTGGGGATAAAGTGCAGGATTTGGTTACAGGGAAGGAGGCCATCAACTGCCCTGTGCTGATGTGCCAGTTCCATCTGGAGCCATAAACCCACCACTTGCCATCCTCCCACTCATCAGACTAGCACATGATGCCTCTGCTCCAGCTTATTCAAGAAAGGGAGGATCTGCCAGTGGCAGAAATGCAAAAGAAAGCGCAGGAGAAGGCGCATGACAGTGTGCTAAAAAAGACACAGGGAAGCATGGGGAAGGGGACAACCGCTGGGGTTGGAGATGCACTCCTGGAAGGAGGTTCTCCACACCGGAGCCAGGACACCCCTGACGGGACTGCAGCAGTGGAGGTGGAGTGGAGGTGCCTACACTGCAATAGGGACATGCTTATGGAGAAGCCCTCATGGGAAGAAAGGGGAAAGGAATAAGCAGTAGAAAGAAACTTCCATGTACCAACCCCAACCTCTGGCACTACCACTGGTTCAGAGCTTAACCTGAGGAGTTAAGGAGTTCTCCCTAGGTGTTTGTTTAAGTGGTGGTTTTCTTTGTATCTCACTAGCCAATTGGCAATTAAAAGTTTATGCTACCAAGCAATAAATTAAATTTTCCCTGTGTCAAGTCAGTTTTGCCCATAACAGCCAAGTTTCTAAATTAACAGGATTCAGCTGTTACTGAGAAATTAATCTAGGCACAAAGCAGTATTTCAGAGCTACACACATCATCTTGTATTATTTGTCCAGCCACTAGACAGCATATTCTATTTAATTTTAAGTGGTATGTTCTTAAAGGAAGACCCATTACTAACTTGATAATCAGCATGCGCTGGGTTGGTAACTAATTTATACCAGTAAGCTGTTGGCCACTGCTGACTTCATGGCCTGGACTTTCCATTGTGGAGATCACAAACTTAGGGTAAAGAGCGAGAAGTAACTGCTTCAGAAACACCTGAAATGTTTTGCTCAAATAAGGAACTGAAAATGGATGCTACACAAATAAATGAACAAAAGGGAAAGGAGACTTATAAAAATTAGTGTATGTATGGCCTGACGAGTGACAAGACACACAGAAAAGAAAGCAAAACAATTAGCAAATCAGTGTACCTTCAAGCTGAAAGCACCAATTTTAGTGTATCCACAAATAAAACCAAAAGTGCATAAAATCATTCTTTAAAAAGGAACAAAAAATAAAATCATAGCCAAGAGAAGCAATTCACCATCATTCCCAGATTCTTCTCCTGTGTACTGAGACCTACAGAGCCCGGGTTAAAAAGCACTGAAGTGGAAAATGCTTCTAGATGGCTTGTGAACGTCTTCACATGGCGAACAAAACAGTGAAATCATTCGGCACAGTGAAATCCTCTGAGACACCTGCCAAATGTAGTAACAAGAGAAATCTCATGTTTCTAAAATAAAACTGCAATATCTAGTTATTGAATTGTACAAACTGTTAGATGAATTCAATGTTGGGCACAAATATTCCACATAACTGTCACATGCAGACTATTCTCACAGCAGAGCAATGACTCACATACTACAAAGTACTATCCTGTGCCAAACGGCGGCCATCATCTGGGATAATTTCTGCAGGATAATTATTTGAAGGAGCAAGTTGAAGTGAGCGGGGCACACACAGCCTCGCTTGTGCAGATCGCTGCTGAGAGGCACATATTATTTTCTGACAGCTGCTCAGCTGCCTCGGTCCTTTTCCCAACAAACAGGTGTTTCCACAAAAGCCAAAATCTGCATAAACAGCAACTCCACAGTAATTTCAATGTTTTAGCAGAAGCTGAATTTACTACTACAAATCAAAAGGCTTGATTCTCCTCTCCAGTCGGGAGTGGTGTGGTACCTGCCAGGCAGGCACGGCGGGCGGGGGGGACACACTAAATAACAGAGCCGGAGCACGCCAGCGCTGGGCACGGAGCTGGCTCCTCATGAGGCACGTGGGATTAAAAGGCGACCGGAGCGAGGGCGCGATGATGCAGCAGCAACAGCGCCCGAAGGCCAACCCTCGGGGCGGGGGCAGCGGGCAGGGAGGGCAGCCGGAGCCCCGCGGGCCGGGCCGGGCCGGGCCGCAGCAGCGCTCGGGGCGCCGCGCCGGAAGAGCCGCTGCCAGCGCCGGGGCAGGGCCGGGGCAGGGAGAGGGTCGGAGCAGGAGCAAGCGCTGCCGCGGGGTCCCGGCACCCGCCCGGGGAAAGCCCGGCACAAGCCGGGGCGAAGTTGCCCCGGGGCCGGGAGCGGGCAGGCGGCCCCGCCGCGGAGCCCTGCGCGGCCGCGGCTGCCGGGGGAGGGCGCGGCTCCGCCCGCCGCCAGGCAGGAGCCGCGGAGGGGGAGCCACTTACCCGCACGCCGGCTCGGGAGGACGGGCCGGGCGTCAGCGCGGCGGGGAGGGAGCGAGGGAGGGAGGGAGGGAAGAAGGGAGGCGGAGGCGGCGGGGACGAGCCCGCCCCGGCTCAGCGTGTGCGGAGGCGGCCCCAGCCTGCGCCCGCCCCGCCGCCCCGCGGGGTGCGCGGAGCCCGGGGGGAGGAGGTGGTACCTGGCGAGGGGCTGCTTTTGCCGCTCCTCCGTCCCCGGCTTCCTGCGGAACGTCTGGGGGAAGCAGGCGGGAATTTACAGGAGAACTGCCACTCTGCGGAAAAAAAGAAGTTTAATTTCCAAAATGCGGCTGTAGGCAAACCGGGGAGTCGTGCACGCGAGATGGTGGCTTTCCTGAGCTCCCCTGGCGTCCGAAACACACTGCGCTGATTGAGCATTAGTCCCAGGACAAGGGCATGTTCGAGTACCATTTCAAAACCTACACGGTAGCTATGCAAATGACTCTACCATTTTAAAGCTAAACAAAACTAGGCCAGATCCGTGCTATGAGTCTTTTCTGACACAGTCAGAATGACATTTTCTACCCTCCTTTCTATTTTAAGCAGTGGTGCAAAGAATGTATTTTCATTAACTTCAACACGTAGATTCGTCCTTATTTTTAAGACCCTTTGTGTCATCTTCTAATCCCAGCCTGCCTCAGACTTCCTCTTTGCCAGGCTATTAACACCAGTATTTAGTGTCTCATACTTCTCGTTCTTTAGTTGTATTCACACTCTTCTTACGTGATGAGACTTACAACTGCTATGCGTATATGGGTAACTTATTTTCTCATTCCTTGTCTTCCCCCTTGGAGTAGAATAAGAAAGTAACACAATGGAGTGCTTTGGATTGGATTTAAAAAATCCCAGGTACACATGCATTGCTCTATGAGTAGCTTATAAAAGACCCCCATCAAGGAAAAAAGGAAGGAGCAAAGACTTGTGGCTCTCCTTAGTTCTGAGCAGAGTTGGATCCATAGAGATTTACTTTATAAAGCACTATAGGATCAAAGCTTTGTCTTTATCACAGAGCTTTACTTTACACTCTGTCCACCCTTCACACTTGGAATTTAAATAATCCACTAGATACCAGTATGGGTATCAAGAATGGGTTTAGTGTGCTCCTGTGAACAGGTCAACGGTAGCCTGGAAACAGCAATGGACGTTAGTGATAACATGGCAGATTATGGCACTGCGGGAGACTGTGGCATCACTAGAGAAGCCAGAGCTAGGACTACTGTTGCCCAACTTGCAGGCCACCTGGGTGGTAGGGGCAGCACAGAAAGAGCTATGTGTCATTGCTGTCGTATGGCCAATTGCTATGGCTCTGGTAAGTTTAAAAGTAATTCCTTCACTTGTCCCAGGCAAAGACATCTCACTGAAAATGTCTGGCTGGGGGACACCTTCAGCAGGACTTGAACCATGCATCAGTCCAACTTTTTTTGTCATGTAACTTTTTGCTTCTTCTATCTTGTTTTTCCTTATTTTTCCTCCTCCAAATTCCTACATTCAGTACCTCCCTGTCTACAAAACCCTTGTCAGTAATTAAGTAGCTTGTACGTTACAGCTGTGCTTGGTATGATAATTACCCTTCTGTTAGTTCTCCCTGTTGACTATGTTCATCTATCATCCATTACCATCAGCTCAGATAGAATTTGGAGTGGTATGAAGTACCTCATACACTGAAGAACCAGCATTTTGAAGGACCTGCAGGTGCTACCACAAGGTAAATAGCTAATATAGTCATTCCTCTGCATTTCCTGAATTTTCTAATATTTTCAGCAAAGTTTATTACTCCTTTCTCAATACCAGCAAGCATTCTCTGACATATTAAAGAACTGTTTGCCTACATCTGAGAATCTACAGACAAAGTCCTTGAGACTATCCTTCCTATGGTTCAGGGGCTGGAAGGAGGGAATCTCTGGTTTGGTTTCTGAGACAAAACTGAGCCATTCTGGCAAGTAGAGACCATCAGTACTTAAAATATGGTTTGCTCAGTCACCTTCTGTTACAGTCTATCTATCTGTACATGGTTTCCAAGTGTGAGCTGGCAAAGGGCATCACCACTTTCTCTTTTCATTAGTCAAGTGCTTACGTATGGAACTATACTGTAAAATGTAATAAGAAAATAATTATATAATAATATAAATAATTATATGACTGCAATTTTAGCTTGATTTTTTTTCCCTATGGTTGGTTTAACAAAAAAAAAAAATTTAAAAAAATCTATTATGAATGGTCTAAAATACCCATTTCGTGGTATAATTTAAAAATTTTTTCAATCTGAATTAAAAGGTATCAGTATGTTCCCCTAGAAACTTTCTTTAATATAACCTAAAGGAACTTTGTTTGCGCGGGGGGGGGGGAAATATGACTGACCATAGTTATGGTCTGTAATAAGTTTATACTGTGTTCCTGCTCTCAGGCTCCCCAGAAGGGAAAATCAGGATAGCACATCTTGGCAGATGGAAGCATAAATCTGGCAAGGAAGCGAACACAAGTGAGAAGCATGTTGAGTCAGTCTCCTCCAAAGATGCTCATTGAAAACCCAAAGGTACAAAGTTGACCTGTTCCCAGTCTGTAGAAAGAACCTAATAAAATAGAGCAGCAATAACTGCACTCACTCTTCTTCAGTTTTATGCCTCCCAGGGGCACAGACAATCAGGCAGATAAATTATAATTTTACACCCCTTTCCCTCAGCTGCACTTAACTAGTCTGATTTTTACCTGTCACTAATAGCACCACAGAGAATTAAAATGAAAGAACTATTAAAAGCCTAATGTATTTTTCATATGTAGGTTGTTTGCATTTCTAGTGCTTGTTTTGAAGCCTTGCATGAAGCAAAAAGTGGAGGTGATAATTCATTACCATGCAAAATTTAAAAATACAATATTATGAAACGGAGTTTTTTTGAAAATACATAATTTAATGCCCAAGGTAATTTCAGTGAGAAGGTTCTTTGAAGAACGTTGAAAACAGTAGCAAACCAAATCATACAGATTTCCAAAATAACGACAAAAAAAGGTTTTCAGAGAACATAAATTATCAAACCTTATAGCACTTCAATAGGTCATCACCTTTAAGTTGATTCTTCCCCTTTTTTCAAATTATATGCTGCTTATTTTTCAAATTCATCTCTAAGTCTCTTGGTTAATTAGTTGACAACAGAAGAAAGGTGGAAAGCATCTTATCTAGACAGACAAGGAGAATTTTAGGGAGACGGGTTTTTTTGACCAAGTCTGTCTCTGGAAAAAATTAATGATACCAAGGCAGTTGGAAACAAATCATCAGGTTCTGTGCTCTATAGGGCAGTTTTAAATCGAGAATTTATGTGACTATAGAAGATTAAGTAAAACCTTAACCATAGGATTGGGAGGCAATTGAAACATACTCACTTTTTTTACCTTTGTTTCGGTGTTAAACATTTGATTCAGGGATGTTGTAAAGCTTTGAAGCAGTGTAGACAAAACAGGATGTTATCACCCACAGATCAAGTATCTGAGTGGCAGTGTTCAATTTTTGCAAAGACAGTAAAGAGCAAGTGTTGCATGAAATAGGAATCTGAGCTGGGGATATAATGATATATTTCTGCCCCCATTCACAATTATCTCATAAAGCCTTTAACCTCCAAGGGGTAAAAGACCTTTCTGTGTATTTGTGCATGGGAGGAGGAGAACAGCTGGGACAGGACAGAGCCTGGAGTGTGAGCTGGTTGCTCCCACTGCTTTCAGGGCCACAAAGAGAGCCAGGATGGCAAGTGATGCTGAGTGGGACCTTCTCCTGCAGTAAAGCTGCTGCCTCACATTTGGGAGGAAAAGAGGAAGGCTGCAAAGGTGAAGGGAGAAGATGAGCTATCCTGATGGCTCATGCTGCTTGAATGCTGGCCTGTGGGGTGGAAGTGTGTGCTCTTCATATGCCTCCTCATCTTGCCTGTGCCCTCTCTCACACTGGGTTTTCCAAGAATTATTTTGGCTGCATTTGATCACTGTTATTGGCATGAAATTTTGTCCCCTATTAAGCTCCTGGTAAAATGCCTGTTGTCCTCAGTACAACTGGATCTGGCCACTGAAAACACTTCAGAAATCTCAGCATTCATGTGAAAGGATCACAGACATGAAACTGAAATGGATTATGGCAATACCTGGGGTATTTTTTACTCATAGCTGTGAATGACTTTAAAATCTCATTCCCCATCATCCATAGAGAAGATCCTGGTACCTGAGTTTGGTTAACATCTAGGGTATAGCCACATTGTAGTATGCCTTCTTTGCATGCCTAATTCTGCATGTAGTTCACAGACAATAAAATCCAGAATACAGATAATCCTCCACCTTTCTATCACCCATCTCTTTCCTGCTGCCTGGAGATACTACTGACCCTTCATTCAGATAGGGAGTTGTTCAAACTGATTAGCATTGGCAAAAGTAATCTCAGGGTTCTCCTGGCTACTTGACAAAAACTTACTTCAGGCTACTGTCTGGAAGCAGTACAGGAAACATTCATAATTTCAAATAGGAAATAGGTAATAGGAATGTATTCCATCACAGTGTGTCATTTCACAGCAGTTTAGCTGAGCAGTCACTGGGGCAGGGCATCAGTACTGGGAGCACATAGGTAAGTTTCTCCTGTGCAGGTGAGGATGAGGAGCAGAATCCTGAATCCTCTCCAGTACCTGTTTGGTGGTCAGCTGGGAACATGGAGTATGTTCTGAGAGCAACCACCTTGACTGTATTTTTCAGTGTATGAAATTACCTTATCACTGTGAAATAAGTGCAGTGTTAGGGAGGATTCTAAGTCTATGCTTGGCTGTGGGGCACAGTGAAAGCCATATAGTGGGCTGATACAGTGGTTTGCCTGGTTCTGTTTCTTCTGTCAGACACTTGCCAATGTTGCTGCTAAAAATTAGGGGGGGAAGTATTCTGAAAAAACGCCAAACAAAGTGATAGAATAGAATATTAGGTCTGTATTTCTGCTGCCAGATTGTCAGATGATCCATGGAGTTACTACACAAGGTTTAAAATGTTGAGAGAGAATTCTAAATATAATTTTTAGTATCCAGATAGCCTCTGAATCTAATAAAGCTTTTCCCCAAAACGAGATGTTATATGCAGACTTTTGTTAAAAAAAAAATTACTTCTCCAGAAAGGCACCCAAAACCTGTGCTATTTGTGCTACTCTGTTTCTGTGGAAACTGCATGTTGGAGTGGAATAGAAAAAATGAGAGGGGAGAGAATGAGAGGTGAAGTGTTTTTGGCTGAAGTCCCACGGGCCAGTCACAGTCTGAGCTGAGCTAAGTCAGACAAGCAAGCCCTCAATGCTGATGTCCAGATAGTTTTCTTTCCTCCTCTCAACTTGCCATAAGGAAGGAGTCTGGCTCAACAGACACCATTCCAAAAGTCACAGAATCACAGAGTATTTTTGTTTGGAAAAACCCACAAGGTGTGGTTTCTTAAGCAATTAATCTGGTTTTCCCCCTGATTTTTACTCATATCAAAGAAGTGATATTTATGGATATTTTATGCAACAATAGTTTTAGTCAATCAGGAAGCAGCAGAGCAAGGTTTGCTCTGAACAGAGCCTTCCATTGACAGACACGTTGCACAGTCACTGCTCTTCTGAAAAGCACCATTGTGTCCTTCAAAGGACAGTCTCCTCTTCCAAGACTGAAAAGACACCTTTTCATCTTTCTAGGGCTTCCAACACATGCATGTTTTTGATCAATTGCTATGAAAGACAGACAGCCTTGACTAATAAACTCAGCTCCTTATTTTCTATTCCCTGATAACTGTTTCACTGACAGTCATACTGATTTTTCCTCGAGTAAAAACCTTTCTTTAATATCTAAATTAACATCTTAAAATATTGTGAATCTTTTCTGTTGTTGATCAATATTTGCCTGCTGCCTGTGGGTGTGGGTCAGGGTAAAAATCCTAACATGATACAGTTGTGATTGATGGCCCTATTCTGTAGAAACAGAAAGTGCAGGGGTGCTCTGTTTCTACCACATGCACACAAAAAAATGACCAGGTTGACATTGCAGTCTGAGGCTCCAGGTTGGAAAGCCTGGGCATTTTCCTGTTTATCCTCAGTATGTGTTGCTACAGAAGACAAAATGGAAATGTGTGGCACATCACATTATGTCCAAAGTTCAGCAGAGAATTCTGAACTATTGCTGGAACAGACAAAGCAGTTTGCAAGAATGGAAATTCCGGGAAAAAAAAAAATTAACTAAGTTAGCTGAGAAAATGACATTATCTTTTCAAATTTGGGTATAAGTGTGTACAGACCCAAGAATTTCAGAGTAATTCCTTACAAACAGAAGCTAAAGGGAAGGACCAAACTCACATGGACAGTAGCTGTACATATTGGGCCTCAGCATGGAGTAATGAACACCTACTTCTTGCTCTGCTGCTGCTTCAGCTTCTTAGTAAGACATTAAGATCTATTCAAGTCTCCCTCTAATTTCTATGCACGGGAGTTAGCAGTCAAACATGAAGAGAGTTGACTCACACAATCCAGGGAACCCTGCAGCCCTTTCCTTTTATATGCCTGTAGTGTGTTGCTCTGTGCATGAAAGAAGCAGGAAGAGAAAAGAGCAGAAAAGCAAGTAGTTGGTACCAGGCACTGGTGCTGCCTTCGTTCTTTTGTGTATTAATATTTTCATAAACTACAGCTGAGTTGCAGGTCAACCTAACTTTCCAGTTTTATTTGTAAACCATTCTGCATTTTAGAACAGTGTTTGTTGTTTACAGTTGGCAGGTCTGACTGCAACCCTCTTTAGGTTACTCAGGCTTTGAGTTTGACAGCTTAAGAAATATCTGCTTGTTGAAGTGCTTACTGCTGTTCACCCACTTGTAATGAATAGGAAGTTCAGGCCACACAAAGACATTATGATACAGTCAGAACATGCCAGAAACACAATACATTGAAGCAACACTCCATTAACTCAAGTTAGGTAGTGCAGAAAAGTGATCACATTTATATCAATATATGTTAGGAGTCAAATTAGCCTTTTATTCACTGTAATCCATAAAATTCTCCAGGCACAAAACAGAAGGCATTAATCAGCAGCTATTTGGCTCTAAACACCTCCCTACAATAGGGTCTGGAAATGCCCTTTACAAACTGAGAAAGTGTGAAAAACTCTCTCCAGTGCAGTATGAAAGTCCCATTTTAAACTCATGAAAGCCAAGATAGGTGAACAGCGTTCACGGAAACACTGTGCCTCACTGCTGCAGTGCAACATCACACAGCAGCCCTGTGTGGGCAGTTTCTGTACAGAGACTTTACTGTGGACAACACACTCCTCTGTAGACAGACTGTTCTTTCATGGGTCCATAAAATTTTTGTGCCAGTGCTAGTCATCACTGGTCTACAAATTCCACTCATTTTCTTGGTGTTAATTTTCCTGTTATAGAAATAGGGTTGAGGATAGAGTGGCAATTACAATGTGGATAGTCTTGTATAAGTATGTTGTATTTTCAATGCTTTCCCTCTTGCTGACAACCGTAAAGTCTAATAAATCACCAAAGCTTCGTAATGCATTT